CATGGAGCAAAGTACTACAAGTCTTGCAAGAAAACAAATTCCAACCCAGACTGATATACCCTGCAAAACTCTCAAGTATAATGGAGAAGTGAAATACTTCCATGACAAAGAACAACTGAAGAATTTCATGACGACAAAGCCAAGCCTACACAGACCACTAAATGATGTTCTAGAGAGGGAGCAAATTGATCACAGTCCCATGAATGAGAATGGAAAGATCTCACCAAATAGGGCAAACAATTAAACATAGGAGAATAACAGGTATACAATAGCAGTCTTTCATTTGTTCTTTTGCGTTCAGCTGCAAAATATTTCCATCAGCACATTCTACTAATGGACTTCTCTTCCACCTTATGGGTCATGATTCCACCTGAGTCTACAGGGTAGATTTCAAAGAAATAGCTGTAGCTCAGTCCCACAAGTGATGCCTGGCCACCAGTAATTGTCATGGTCATTATACATGATGTCCACAACACACTAGAACTTTGTGCGATATCCTACCCTCAAACTGTTAGAAGTGCTGGTCATTTATTTGCCATTCCAGTATTTATGTTACATTTTACTCTTAGTACTTCTTTGCTATCATGAAAATTTTTTCTTAGTTCAACTGTTTTGAAACATTTAATTTTAATTAATTAGCATTTAATTTTCTGAATATTGTTTAATCTTAATTTTTGTTCTAAGATTTTTATCTTCGACTTACAATTTATTTAAAAAACTTCATACAATATCTTCTCCTAGTATTAGAAACTTTAAAAAGTATATTTCCATTTTCTGTTGACTTTATATTACTTCTTCCCTTTTATACACACATATACACACGTATATATGAAAAAAATACATGTCTAACACAACATAAGATTGGTACTGTTTCATAGAAATCTGCAGTGATCTTTAAATAAGGGTTCATCTAATACATTTTTTATATAGTACTGCATAATTATCATATTGAGAGCTCTTTATTGTTCATCCAGGACCATACTGCAACTTTTCTTGCCTTTTGAATTATGCTCTTTGTTATTTCCTATATGCTACTTCTAGAGGTATTAAAATATTTCAAGTTTGCATAACTAGAAAATCTTACTTTTAGTTTTCAAAGTATAAAATTCAAAGAGGATAGATCTTTTCTTTCAGTCCTTTAATTAGTCTAGTTTCTTACACACTTGGCCTTTTTTTTCTTTCTAATGTGGAGTAAGATGCTATTTAATTTTGTTCTTCCATAGCTAATATTTTTTATGTAAATGCTTTATTTTTTTTCTTTACAATATGTTTTGTACAATTTCATTTTTGTGTATCTTGGTATGATTTTATTTAAATTTCTTGTGCAAAAGGTTCATTTTTCTTGGAAATGCAGTATTTTAAGTTGAACTAAATTCAGAAATTTTAAATCTTTAAATATTTATTCCTACTCTTTCTACTTTGAGAATTCTAATTATATGAGTATGAGTTTCTTGGTTTTGGAAAAAAAAAAAAAAAGCACAAGGTCCTGAGATCAATCTCCAGTACCCAAAAAAAAAAAAATAGAAAGTTAACAGTATAAATAATTGAAAATGAATAAATAAATAATTGAATATTTTTGATAAAAACGGAGTGGGATACTTTTTACCTCTTTCAGCAAAAAAAGACATATATATACACATACATAATACATACATAAAACATACATATATATATATACATAAAACATGCATATATATATATATATGTACACAAAAATTACCTGTGGCATTTCTCATAACTTTTCATACACATATACATACTGCCATTTTATTTCAAAAAAAAACCAGACACATTATCTGGATATAACCTAACAACAACACACAAAACCCCATCACACCAAGTAACACAGTTTAGAATCCACTTAACTCCCTAAGAGAAGAGCCCTGGTAACACTGTCTCCCAATACTGCTGTGCACGTGCCCAGGACCTGACACTGAAGGAGATGTCTCGGCAGTGCACGTGCACTCGGGATAAGAAGCTTTTTCAAGTGATGATACCAACAGCAGGTGTCACAAAAAAAGAAAATAACAGATTTGACTGCACAAATGTGACTGCACAATATCAAGATGAAAAAGGGTTCATAAACCAAGTTTAAAATTAAACAAGCAAAGGGCTGGCAAATAGCTCAGCAGAGGGGCCGGGGAGATGGCTCAGTAGGATAAGCACTTGACTGGCAAACGCAAGGATCCTGAGTTCAATCCCTGGTTCCGATAGCTCAGCAGATTAAAGTGCCTGTAAGCAGGTGCAGGTTCTATCCCCAGGCCTGCAGTGCCGGCCCCGCCCTGGGGCACGCTGAGATGGCAATTGAAACTGGGCATGATGGCCCGCGCCCGTAAACCCAGCTCTTGAGAGCCTGTAAACAGGTGGATCACTATGAGTCTGATCTTTGCAGTGAGATCCTGTAGGCCATGTAGACCCTTCCCTAAAATACAGAAAAAAATAAAAATTAAATTAAACAAGCAAGCTGGGAAAACACCCCGCACGAGGGCCAGGCCAGACCCGGGGGATGCCCACCTACTGCTGGCAGGCACTGCGTCTTGATACAAGCCAGCCAGAGCAGTGTGCACCTGTAACCCCAGCTACTGGAGAATGAGGCAGGAAGAGAGCAGGTTCTGGGCCAGCCTGGGCAAGGTGCCAAGATGCACCTCAAAAGAAACTACACTCTGGTACAACCTATCAAGAAGCACCTCATGAGGGGTCGGGGAGATGGCTTAGTAGAATAAGCACTTCTCTGGCAAGTGCAAGGGCCTGAGTTCAATCCCCGGTTCCGCAAAAAAAAGAAGAAGCACCTCATGAAGTATATTAAAACTTTTAGAATGTTCAAGTTGTTTGCTTATCACACTTCTAGAGTTTATGAGAAAATAAGAATGTTCACCTCAAGACTGCTTATGACAGAATCAACAGTAGAAATAAAATATGTAGAGTACTGGCTTACAATATGGGCTCATTTAGAACATCTTTTTTTTTTTTTTTTTTTTGCGGAACTGGGGATTGAACTCAGGCCCTTGAACTTACCAGGGAAGCCCTTATTCCACTGAGCCATCTCCCTGACCCTCGTTTAGAACATCTTAAATGGAAAATTACACAATTATTTTTGAAAGCCAGTTTAACTGCATGCCATTGTGTGGGGGAGGGATGTAACCAGATGAAGGGAAGGACCAAAGCCATTTACATATATCACCCTATTTTCACAAATCTTCAATTTTGCACTATGGGCTAAATATGCACAGAAAAATATCTAGAGATGTTAACCTAAGTCCATCTTAAACAGAGAAATATCTAGTAGAATAATGCTTATTTTCTTCTTTTTCCCTATATTATTTTTCTGCAACAAATGTACACCAAGGAAGATAAAACTTTAATATATAAGTGTATATAAACATTTAAGAGTACTATGTATGGAAGTCCAGAACAACTCAGATAGTTAGATGAGGGGGTAACTCAGCGGCAAGCACATGACAGCATGTGTAAAGCCCTAGGTTCAATCTCTAGCACCCAAAAGAAAAATAAAAAGGGGGAGGTCATTAAAAGTACCAAACCCTTATACTCTTACACATTAAAAGAAAAAGGACACAAAAAAGTTCAAGAAGAGATATAAAAACAATCAAAAAATTGTTTTCACAATAAACTTTTCATTAATTATAAACTTTAAAAAACAATAAATCAATGAGAAAAAAATACAACCAACGTCCTGTAATCAAAATAAGATAACCCTTTTCATCTACAAATTCTAATATTTTTAATTATGTCAGTCATTTCTAACATGACTAGTGAGATTTTAAGGTAGAAAAATAATCATTACAAAAGTTAAGCAAGTTTTAGAATTTCCTTTTCCTCGAAACAATAATTTCCTCTCTAGAAATCTAAGGAAGTCTCAAAACTGTGGAAAAGCATAGAACTATCAACACACACAAAATAACTTTTTTTTCCAAAGTTAACAGAGAACTGGTGATGACTTGAATGTTTTACGATGAAACGATGTTCAAATAAAGTATGGTACAGGGCTGGCTGTAGCTCAGTGGTAGAAGGGTTGTCTACCATTCATTCACAAGGCCCTGGGTTTGATGCCCAGCACAAGGATAAAACTGTGGTGCACATCCACAACGTAATGTCACACACTCGATAAGGCTTGTCCAGGACTGGACGGCAAGGTTCGCTGTGACGGAACTCAGAGCCTTGCGCACAAGCTGGCACCCACCGCTGAGCTAAGCCCACCACCCTTCTCCAACTGGAATGGCCTGGGGAAGCGCTCAGGATACAAAGCATGCACGCGTCACCTGGCTGCCTTCAGCTTGAAGCATCTCTTGCTTCTCTTCAGGAGTTCTTTTCATTTCAAACCTCTGAATAAATTCACAATCTTCAGCAGAAATCATCTGCCCTCTAGAAAGTAAGAATAAGTTATTCTGTTCAGTTAAGCGTTAAGCAGTCACTGTGAGAAAACAAGAGAGGGATTCCTAGCCTTTCTTCTCTCTCCTTAGTGATGTTCCAATAAAAATCATAGAAGGTCAATGTTTTGGACTAGGCTCCTGAACTGGGCCCCAAAGCAAGGACTGAAAACCTAACTAGAGTCGCTCATACTAAAGATCCACATCACCAAACCGAAACTAAGTCATTGTTCAGCCTTTAGAAATCAACTCAGATAACAGCTGAATTTCCCAAACAGACCAATTTCAACCAGCAAAATGAAGTTCCCTCTGCTTAATCCCTCTGCCCCATCAAGTAACCTGATGTTAGCGCCTCTGTTGCTCTGGCTCCCTACCTTAGGGTAACCTTGCAATGACCCCGGCTTTTTGTCCTTTGTTTCTCCTTTCTCCAGCCTTTAATCTATAGAACCAACCCCCTCTGCTCAGTCCATACTGTTTCATGGAAGGAAGAATTGCCCGCTCACTTGTATCACAGACAAAGCCAAGGTAGATCTTTAAATCTGTTGACATTCTTGTCTTCTGACACAACGTCTTTTGTCACAGGGCTAACACGCAGACCCTGCCATTCAACGAACACTTTCATGGCTTAGCTCTACCATTTGATGATGGTTTGACCTTCGTGGAAGGTGCAAAATGGGAACAATGACCATTTTCTCTTGTGGGCTATACTGAGGGCAAAAGTAAATATTTCATGTAAGTCGGTTAACAGGCACCTGGCCCACAACAAGCACTACATGAAACGTCCGTCACCTCTCAGCATTATCTGAAGTGTCACCCTTAGGGTCCCTCCCAAGCTTGACCTTCTGTGTCACCACACACCAAAAACCAAATTTCCATGATCATTTGCTCCAATATATTTTCCCACCCCAGACTCAGTAAGCTCAGACTTCCCGCTCTGAAAGCCTCTCTACTGTGACCACACCCTTCCAGCAGCCGGCCTTGATACCCTGTTTTCCTCCCGCTCCTCAGAGGCCCCTGTGTCACTCAGTTTGGTTCTTGAAGGCCTCTCTCCGTGGCTCAACTCTTGGAAAGCTGCTTTTATTTTCCAAACTCTTTGCTTCAGAGAGATTCAAATCAATATAGTTCCGTCTTCCTTCTCCCTCATGGCATCACTTCTAGCTCCATGTAAAAACAATTTTCACAAACACCGCATCATCACCACCGTGTCCGTCATCCAGTTTCAAACCTGACTTGACTTCCCACCTGCACTTATCATTCCTGATCATACCCTCACCCTAATTTTTAAATGCAGGCTCTTCTTGGTAAAAAACACGTCCAAGCTGGGGATACAGCTCAGCGGCGCAGTGCCTGCCTGTTCATTTCTGAATTAAGAGAAAGGTTAACCAGATATAAACACTATATAACATGTTAATGTATGTGAGCCAAAAGCAAACAATCATAGCTTGGTACTCAACTACTTGGAAACTCACTGAATGTGGAACTCAGCACACTTTTTTATTAGCGCATGTTTGCAGCACACAACGATTACATGTATATTACACACCTTAATTCACCTTTATCCCCCCACCCCTCCCTACTCTTCCCATTTTTGGTCCCCTTGCAATTTGCAAAAGGCTCAATTCCTTTCCTTTTCTTCACTTCTTTTTTCCCCCATCTCCTTCCCCCCGCCTCCCCTCACTCTACCTCTTCACCTTTCCCAAAAAGATCCCCCTACTTCCTGTTATCCATCTGCGTTTTGTTCCTTACTTGTATCTTGAGTTTCTCGTATAAGAGGAGCCACAGGATATTTCAGCTTGTATCCCTGAATTACTGCCCTGAATACTGTAGTCTTAAGGTGCATCTATTTGCCTACAAGTTGTTCTGGTATTGTGGTCAGCACCTGACATGTGAGCTACAACATGCTGGTGTGAATTACTTTGTGACTTGCTACCCCTTCCAGCCAACAGCGGGTTCAGTATTCACGTCTGTACTCCTCATGCCTCCCAGAACCAATCAGCGATGAGCACTGGGGCACCACTGCACTGGCTTTCTGACTCTGGAAAACTCTCCCACAGGCTTTACCCTATCAGGACAAGATACGACACACAAGATTTATTCCTTACACTTATGTCACAGCCAAGCCCAGTACTCTGTGCACTTCCAGGGAAGGCATGGTGCACACCCACAGTGTCCACACATCCCCAGGCTCAACAGCAGGCGCATGCCTACCACTTGGTGAACACATGCACGTAAACAGATTAGTAGAGCTCTATAAAAGAAACTTTTTCAGTGGACAACATAAAGAATGAGGGAGGGCTAGGGAGATAGCTCAGTAGAATAAGCGCTTGCCTGGCAAGTGCAGGGTCCTGAGTTCAATCCGCAGTACTATTAAAAAAAAAAAAAAAAAATGAGGGAAAAGGGAGAACGCAATATGAGCAGTAGAGAGTCCATAAAAGTAAAGAAACAGAAAAGAAAAACAACTGAAAACTACAATGTCACCAAAAACATTCCAAGTATTAACACGAGGGGAAGTTCTGCCAGACGTCTGGTGTGTTATGATCAACAATATTATTCTATTTATGTTAAAAACAAAGCCATGGTTTATAAACATAAAACTCCACATCACTTCATCTAAATACTCTGGAGTAAGAAATTAGGAAACACAGCTTGAATCCTAATTTAACAATCAATTTAAACAATTACACGAGGCCAATGATCAGGGTAAACAACAATAAGCCCCCCATCTTGCTCCTTCCCCCCTTCAGTCTCTGCCCCACAACGATCTACATCTTCAAGTGGGAATCTGAAAGTCATTCCTAACACTATTCACTATGATTCCTGATTTTCCTTTACCTCTCAGTCTGCTACTCACAAATCCACCCTTTACACAGTCAGCAAAACAATCCAACCAAGATAAATCTGATCATGCAGTAAGAACAGCAGCTATCGCAGTGGCTTTGTTTACTTCTTCTTCCCAGGACTAGGGGTTGAACCCACCGGCTCATGCATGCTAGGCAAGCACTCTAGCCCTCAGCTACACTCCCAGATCTTTTGTAAACTTTATTTTGAGACAGAGTCTCACTAAGTTACCCAGGCTGGCCCCCAAACTGCAATCCTCCTCCTCAGCCTCCCAAAGAGCTTAGAGTACAGCCAGAAAGCACCATCTTTGGGTTTCCCTTCAAAGACACCCAGGCACCCACAGGCCTTCACCAGCAGCCCCATGCTCCTTCTCAGCCTCATCTGTCCCCACTCCCTGCCTCCAAAGATGACTGACTCCCACTCCACATGCTGTGCTATTTCCCTGTCTTGCTAACAATGTCTTATACATGGAAAGTGGCTCTTTGTTGCAACAGGGCTGAATCCTTGGCCACCAGGCATCCTTGAAAACTCAGTTCAGAGTGTGCCCCCTTCCAAAAACTTCCTGATCCAGAGGTGGAGATGGGGAAGGGAGGGAGAGAAAGGGATGAAAGAAGGAATTAAGATGGGTTAAGTACATGTACCAGCTTCACGCAAAGAATGTAAGCACCATGTACTACAAACATGCGCTAATAAAAAAATAATTAGCTGGAAAAAAAAAAACTTCCTGAGACTAGGAAGCACTGCGCTTTTTCTGCGGTCTCGTCACACCCTGGGCGTCTTTTATTATCAGTTAACACACTAAATTGAAACAAATATTTATACAGTATGAGTCCCTTATAGAATGGTATCCTACATCCTTTCGGAAGCCATAAAGTCCAAAAACGCCTTAAATTAGTGATTGTTCAATACACATTTTATGAATGACTATACTGATACTTTAAAAAAATGATTTTGTACACTGCAGATCTCTCCTACAATAAAAAAAATATTCTTCAATTTGTTCTTCAAAATATATATAAAAATTGAAGAGATTTGCCCAATGATTCACTAATAAATATGGCAAATCAGATAGGAAATCAATTCAACATGATCAAATACAGTCAAGAATAAATGAATGCTGGATTATAATCACAGAATACTATAAGCAACACCAAGACAATAAATTTTAATATACACAAGAAGGAAGAAAAACTAAACTCTATTGAATGTATTCAACATTCCAATGCTTACGTTCAGCTGTGCTAATATTTGAAATACACCATTTCAGCAGCAAGCCTACGACACATGTATGGACTCCCATTCTATGTCTACTTCACCTCAGAGTAGTTAAGTGATCTGCATAAGATCACTAAACTAACAGAAAGAACCAGAATTCAAAGCCGGCTCTTAAGCCTCCAGTCTCCAAATCTCTAAGAGCTGCTTTCCAAGCGCAAGTCCCCACTCCAACCGGCACAAAGGGCCCAAAAAGTATGTTTTGTTCATCACCTCCTTCCTCCCTCCACGGCCATGAAGATCCCACCCGGGCTTCCCACTCATCAAAGGTACTTTTTCCAGACACAGGGTCAGAAACACTTCGTACGAGCCGCCCTACTTCCCCCGTAGAATCACAAGCAGTTTCCACCACACTGTAGTAGGTCAGCTAAATGTTCTAGAGGAAATGTTTCTTCCACATCTATTAGCATTTTTCCAGTGTTTCTCTCATACAGGCATGACCGTGAAAGAGGCTGAGGTAAAAGCACATGACCACTCATGACTCACACAAACCAGTACTTACTGAAGGTAAGACTGCCAGTTTACTTTACTGGCTCGAACCTCGGCAGCCTTGGCCGCAATAACGTTCGTAGGGACGGCGGCGTCCACAGCACCTCGAATATCCATCTTGGTCATCTAAATTGATGATCCTTAATGTTTTTCAGAACTGCTAGTTAGATACGAGGTAAACACAGAAAACCAAGGGTTATCTTTTATAACTATTATTATTAACATCACTATTACCTTCAGTATCACTAATACTAGTTATTACTTTTACATCCTCTAGCATTCAGCTCAAATATTAAATATCATAAGCCTGCAAACACTAACACTGCATTTCAAATCTTGGGCAATACTCTACAAACGGGTTCTATACAGCTTTACCTTTTCCAAGAATCATTTAATGATTAGCCCTAATATTACTGTGAAACTTTTAAAGTGACTATTTGAGATACTGACATCAGAAAACATGACTAAATAAAACAGGTACACAAAATAGGAAAAAAAAAAAAACAAAACGTGTTGCTTAGGACAGAAACCAGGGTCTTGCATGTGTGTACTAGGAAACTATTTTTTTTTATTTTATTTATTATTTGGTATAGGGTCGCACTATGGAGCTTGGACTCATAATGATCCTACTGTCTCAGTCTCCCCAGCGCTGAGATTACAGGCATGTGCCACGATGCCCATTTTCAGGGGCCCGTACAGAGCATGCAGTACTGGGAATCGAACCAGGGTCCCCGAGCTATCTCCCCAACCCCTAGGAATCTATTTTAGGTGTATTTATGAGATTCAATCCTTCTCCTCAGTCAGAAGAAAACTAAACCTGTATAATACGGATCGAAGCAATTACTGTACATAACTAATGTTTACTCAATATTTTAAGTGACACATTAAAAATTACAAATCCCTTCTAAAATAACACATTCGAATTAAAATACATAAAGTGGGAACCTAATTCTCAGAAGACTGATTTACTTTTTCAACATAAATTTATAATATCATGTTTTCAAAATCAATTTAGGTGAAAAGATTTGCAACGAATACCTATTACAATTCAGATACAAAGAACAATGGGAGACTGCTGTGATGAGGACTTATCATAATGAGTTCTGAGTAATTTTCATCCCTAAATTTACAAATAAAGAGTTTAAGCCTGATTTTCACGACATGAAATACAAGTCTCTGCAGAATTTAAGTTCGTGGCGACCACCACACAAAAAATGCTAAAATTATGTCTAAAATTCCATTTGGAGTTTCCAATGACCTTAATCAATTTACAACCTAATCTCTGTGAAGATCTGCTGCCCAAACGGGGGGCTGAACGAGGGCTGCCGGCCCGGTGACAACGGGCTCCGTCTGGGGCGCCCCGGCGTTCCCGAGTCCGTCCGGGCCCCCCGC